AGGGATCGGATTCTTATGCACTTCGTTCTGGATGCAGATAGCTACTATGAGGTGAATCAAAGATGCATCAATCACACATCAATTGGGACCAAAAATTACCCACAACACTTATGAATTATCAACAAGGCAACGAGTTGAACTTTTAAGCACAAATAGTTCTAATGAGACACTTGAGCATCAAGAGTTGACTTTAGTCATCAAGGAAGCTCGCTCTTTCATGTCGGTCATTATGGATCCAAAACTCCTCCTCTTCTACTCTCCGTTAGCATATCTCACTTTAGAATGTAGCGCTCAATTCAAAGATTTGTGAATGGTTCGCTCATTTCTCTCAAAAGAATGTCGCAAATACGGCTCCAAGTACCATATGCTTGCCCCTCATGTAGATCACCACTAATGTAAGCTCACTCGACTTGAAATCACGTAGGGCTTTTTCGGAATGCAATAAAGGCTTTTGAACTAAGGTTGGATATGTTATGATAGAACAGGTTCATCTTTCCTTAAACACTCCATTTTCTCTTATCGGCTCATGTTTTGCCAACTTGAGGCATTTTCTTTTCCTTAGGGGAACTAGAGAGACTTAACACCACTCTTTCTTGGTTATTATATCCATTTTCTCCTTCTTTGCTTTCTCCATGCTTTGAATCATTACTTTTCTTTGAATCCCTTCAACTCTTCAACTTATTCAACAACCGAGCCCTGGGCGTAGTGACGTCCGAAATTTTCTGAATCCATTGGTTCAAGCCCTCAACCAGAGGGGTAACCCACTAAGTCGCTGAGACAGGTAAAGGGAGAAAAGTTAATAATGACGAGAAATGGTCTTTCACAGAAGTAAAAGCAAACTATATACTTACGAGTACGGTTCCACAATTTCGGGAAAGACGGAGCCGAGGCCGGGATAATGTCACTAGTGGCAACTATAAAAAACCGCTCCATCCACCCACGGTCGTTATCATGTTCCATGCTGGATATCAATGCATGGTGGCCCCGTTTGCTAAAGTTAGTCATCCCTCCACGGAAGATCTTGCGGGGATAAAGGTTCATCACGTGAGCTTGGGATAGCTCATCCCCGGTTTCTTGGCACAAGCGCCGAAGGTAAGCAATCTTACTCCACACTGAGGGACTCACATGCACCAAACATATCTGGTAGCGGAGGCAAAACTCCACAATAACGGAGTCAAGCTCTCCACTCAGAGAAAACATCCCCGAAGTGAAGGGATACATATACAACAACAACAACGACCCGGTAAAATCCCACTAGTGGGGTCTGGGGAGGGTAGTGTGTACGTAGACCTTACCCCTACCCCGAGGAAGTAGAGAGGTTATTTCCGAAAGATCCTCAGCTCAAGAAGACGAAAAGAGGCAATATCAGTAACACTGAAGGGATACATATAGAAGCTCGTAAAACCTTTCTTGGGTAAGGTTACCCGCTCCACCAGATCAGGAGCAATAATGTCTAAATCCCGGCAATGACAATCTTTCTTCACAGTGGAAATGCTGGAAGGACGGATGGAAGAAGGATATCTGCTAACTGCCCATGTATGAGAGCTAGCAGAAGGAAATTTCACTTCGAAGTCTTTAGTTGTGACAAGACTTCTAGGGATGACGGTGCTCACTGTAGGAGGTGCGGCTTCATCGGCTTTGTTTTTGTTCTTTGAGGAACTGATATTTTTTGAAGAAGAAGCCATTATATGTTATAGAAGAAGAAAAGCTTTTCTCGTATGAGGAGAATTAAAGAAAGACTGAAGAACATAGTACAAATTGAATGAAGATAGTTTGGAGAATTATGGGGTGTGAATAAATGAGGTTGATGCGTATAAGTAAAAGTTTAGGCGGCTAAATTCGTGGCCATAATTACCTAGATAACCGGCAAAAGTTATGCTGAATCGTGGGATGACGCGTGTTCGGGGCATTAAATGCGGAGAGACGTGCGTCTAATCAACCGTCAGAAGCTTTTCAGAGGGGGTCAGAGAAATTCCCGCCAAAAAAGAATGTTTCTACCAACTTTCCGATGACACAAAGTTATGCCACAAGAAAGCAGGGGGACGATCTGTATAGGTAAAATATGTTATGCTAAGTAATTGCATAAGAGAGTGACACGTGGAGCCGAAGGCAGAGGATAGTTAAAATAGAAGACAACTGTTCCATTTGTCACCGGAAAGAATGATGCTCATAAAGATATAATAAATGTCTGCCACCCGATAGCATTTATTGCAGAATATTCTATAGCATTTAGTACACTGCCTGCTACAAAGAATATGTCATTCATGCCCGCCGTTACACATTCTTCAATGTCCCTCGTAATTGACATTAAAGAAGGGCATGATCTTAGGACCCTGTTCCTTGGTGCAACTATGACATTAAATAGCGAGCTCTTTTATCATTGTAAAGGACAAGACTTTTCTGGCAAACTTATGCTATAATCTATTCAAAGCGTTATACAATTTTATCTTCTTGCTTTTTGATTTCATTGTTGTTGTGCCTGGAAGCCCTGCTCCCGGAACTACTGTTTCTGCTATTTCATCTTCATCTCAAGACTAAGTATTGTGTATTTATTCAATTCTTTTATTATTTCAGGATCGAATTAATTCACTTGTCTAGAAACCACGTATAAATTCAATTGTACCGTTTCACGGGTAAACAGACAGCTCCAATGTGGTGCCACCCATGTAATTATTTTGTTAACTAATTATGTATCTGGTTAACCAAAGAGAAAAAAAAGAATCACAACTGTCATAGTTAAAATATTTCAAAATGACAAGTCAATGACATATTATTTTTTGAAAGAGAGTATGCTTTAACTTTTTAATGTTGATAAAATTCTCTAACTACATAAGTGGGATCAAATCATCAGCAGTAAGCTGTATCATGCGTTTGAAAAAGATTTTAGTCACACTTCGAAACATGTATTATTAGATATTTTAACTAGAGAAATTAAATAGAAGTATTCAAAATCATAAAAAAGAAGAAGAAGAAGAAGTCAAGAAGCTAAGGAACATCATTTCGCTGACACATCGGCTAGATCACACCGAGTAATGATGCCAATGACTTAAATCCACTACAGTTAATTATACCACTAAAGGCTGAAATTTGAATCCAAACTTTCAATTATGCACATTCAGAAAAGATAATTGGTAACTTATTGTGTTTGGTGACAATATGATGTCCCCTGAATAATGCCGTTTTGAAACGTTGAAGTTTGAATCTGTGTCTGAGAACCTGATGTTTATATCAATAATAAATACATAATATATGTCTTGTTAATTCAGAAATATTCTCACTTTAATTTAGCACTTAATCATAGTAAATTAGAATGATTTACTGAATACAGTTAACTTATTACCGTATTGCAGTGTTGCCAATTAGTGCTACTACAGAAAAATATTTATTCCTACTCAATATTTATATTGAACCAAATAATTTAATTTTAAAAATTACATATAAAAATAAAAATATATATTGTATCACTTAATAATATTAACTTATAAATATTTGTATATATGACACATGTCTTCGCTAACTGATTTGGAACAAACAAAACTTTTATACTTTTAGAACTATACTCGTCTTGGGTATGCAAGGCTGATACCGAGGGAACATTTTTAGCTTAAAGATGTTCCAGAATCAAACTTTAAGAGATAGACTATTCCATAAAAAAGAAAGAAAACACTTAGCCATATAGGAATTATTCTTGAAATTTCTTTTATAGTAACACTTAAGGGAGAACAGAAATAAAAATGGAAATCTTACCACCTCTATTTCTTTTAAATTTGTGTGGAAATGGATAGAAATTATGGACCTATTTTAAGTGAAGACCTAAGACCAGGGACAACGTGGAGAAAATGAAAGTTTCAAGATAGAGTTTTGATTCAAATGTTTAGAAATTGCGATGCTACAAGAAGTATATCTGCCATACAATTCTGAAGACGTTGTTGGTCGACCCAATATTCCGATTTTGCTGTTTCTTGTTGGGCAAATTTTCTAGGCCTAATACTCTTGTCATTATAGCAACGCGTAAACAAACATGATTGTACCAAACATTGAGGCGCCACAAATATCTCTTTAGTTATATGTTGCACTGGTGGTGGCAAAATGATTAAATGAAAACAGTAATCTATCCATATTATTCATTAAAAGATGAATTGGATAATGAATTTTTTAAAAATGTATCAAATACGGATAAGAATTAAGTTATCCATTTAGAAAATGGATAACCAGTGTATAACTAATGGGTTTAACTATTACATTTGTAAAGCCTTAAAATTAGGGGTTCGTTAAGTTTGGGAGACTAAAAATTCTACCAAAATGATCATATTCAAGAAGTCCACCGATCAATCCGTTTTTATATGTATTAAATATGGATCGGATCAGATAATTTATTCGTTTTTTGCATTACCCGTTATAGACCCGCACATATCCAACCTGACCCGCCCTGCCACCCCTAGTTGGCACCAACCTAACATTTGATTTTCCTGCTATGTTTTATTGATGTTCGACCAATCAGGGTAGAACCACAATCGTGGAGGGGTGATCAATTAGATACCCTTTGTACGAAAATTCATATGGCGTATATATACATCAAGTATTATTACTTTTTATATGTATATATAAATATTGAACGCCCTTAACTAAAAATTTCTATCTTTGCACTGTATTCAATCATATACATAAATCATCAGTTTGATGCATATCCAAGAGTGACTTAAACTACACATATAATTAATTTTTTTTAAAATGTAAATTTACTAAGTTCTAATTTAATGTTATAAAAGAATAGTCGGTGAGGTGATAGTTTACCCAAGGCTTCTTAGTCATCAATTTTAATGGAAAATTAAGAGAATGGTTGGCAGAGCGACAAAACGAGATCAAAGTTGGTACTAACAAAACCATCCACGGTGTTTCTCCGATTGTTCCAAATACAAAAAACTAAACTACAAATAACATCCCAACAAGTCATGGTGCTGGAAATGAGCTATATTTTTCTATGATTGGCGACTAACATATATGCACGATATGCCTTAATTTTTTAATAAAGGATAAGTACTACGCACGTATAAGTTGTACAACCTGGAGTGGACAAAGCCAACCCACTTCCCAGGCATCAAATTAGAGTACAGATTAATTCTGTACTACTAAGTAATATATGTACTAGAAACTCAATTCCAAATTCTTCAATCCTTTTTACATATTGGGGGTCAAATGTTAGAAGAAGAAAAAAACCGAAGCTAAATAAAATAAAAATAATGACCTAGAAAACAACCCAAAACTAAGAAAAAGGGGAATTATTTTCTTCTCCAAAGAAAAGAAAATTTAAAACCCAAAAAAAAAAAAGGGGGGAGGGGGGGAACAAACCAGCCTCAAAAATTAACATACCTGTAATCTCAAAAGTATGAATTGATGTTCAATAATCAGGCATGAGTTGAGTGATTTTGCCTTCTTCAGCATCCAATTTTTGCTCAGTAACTCTCAACCATATACACACAGCAGTAAAACTTAGGACCAAACTCAAAAACCCACTTCCTAATCCGATCCCTACAATAGCCAAAACGGATAACCCATTACTCTTTTTAGGTGGCAATGGGTACCCGTAAAGATTCTTATTCCCATCAAACGAACTGGCATTGAATCGGGGCAAGTTTCCGCTCCGGTTACCGAGTGACACCGGTATTGGACCCGACAATCTATTATTCGATACGTCAAACACAGATAGCCGCACAAGGAGACCCAGTTGTTGCGGAATAGGACCAGTGAACTGATTGTCATGGAGATCGATGACGTTAAGGTAAGCGCAAATGGCGAGCTGTTCAGGAATTGGGCCTGAAAGTTGGTTAGCTGAGAGGTTGAGGACAGCGAGATTGACGAGGAACTGAAGTTCTATTGGTATTGGGCCTGTGATGGAGTTGGAGGAAAGGTCAAGCGCTTGAAGATTGGTACAATTAGATAAATAAGGAGAAATGGTACCCTTAAGGGAAAGATTTGAAAGGGATAGCTTGTAGATGCGACCATTATTACAAGTTGCCCCTTGTAGATATGAAGTAAACCCATCACAAGGTTTAGCGAAAGAGGATTTAGTCCAGTTTTGAAGGTTTTTCAAAGGGTCTTGTAAAGATTGACTGAGATGGGTCAAGCACATCTCATCGTTTGGATCTGGTGTACAAAAATGGAAAATAGTGGAGGTAAGAAGGAGCACAAGTAGGTTGCTCCAAATACCCATTTAGCTTACCCCTATTTCTGAGAGCTTAACGAGAAAAAACTGTGCTTAAGAATGGAGAGAAGAGAGAGAAAGTGAGAGAATCAAGAATTTTGTAGGGGGTTGTGGCTCTCTTTTTTTAGTCTTTCTGAAATATGTGTAGTGTTGTCAGCAAACAACGTTAGCAGCGGCAGAGGCAGAGCCGCAGAAAGAGAGAAAAAAAGGAAGAGAAAGGGCTTGCGAACTATATTTGCGTTCTCGTTATAATAGGTGTATTTGTTTAATGAAGAAGTGGGATCCTTTTCTTTTGGGAGAATATAGTGAAAATAGGCGAGAAGAGAGAAGACGCAACCCGAAAAAAAAAATACTTTCTGTTATTCCATTCTGCGACTGTTGATAGACTGTACCATTTAATTTATACTAAGAAAAAAACGAGTATGAGGAGGGAGAGAATTAATAAAAAAGTGTCGTGTTGGTTTAGGCTGTTTGCTGAGGAGGAAAGAATGAGGTATTTATATCTCTTCATTTATTTATGTCATACTTTATGTAATGGTTTCTGGCCAAATAAGAGAGAGAGAGAGAGCGCGCACTGAGGCTACTATGGCAAATCACCAGAAAAAGGATATATAGAAATTAAAGAATTGGAAGAGTGTTAGGTGAAAGTGAAAGGAGAAGCGAAAAATGGAGGCACGAGAGGGAGTGGGTGTTGAGTTATTCACTCTTTTGTGTGTTGTGGAACACACTTGAAGGACTATGAAAACGACTATTCCATTTCTTGTCCTGTACCCACTTGACACTACATAGCTTTTTCTCCTTTCTATGTATTTTTCAAAAAATTTGTTAGCTCACACTCAACATGAAATAGTCTTATTCTTTTTTATTTCTAAATTATTGTCCTCTTTGATTTAATAGATTTGAGAAATATATCTATTAAAAAAATCTTATTTACTCAACGAAATATATGGAACATTATTGGCCTTACTCTCAATTGAGACTCATGATTGTAATTCACATGGTTAAATTAGTAGTCGTGATTCTTGTATCTAAAGAAAAAGACCCCCCCCCCCC